TTTTTTTTTCATGTTACGTTAATACACACATACCTTTTAATAAAGGGCTGTTATTTTTCTTTTTCCCTTTTCCATAATTTGTTTTCCTTCAATCGGAGCCTCTTAATTTTGGATCTATAATTGCTAGAGAAGAAGGTTTGGGTCTTTTTCTCCTAATCCATCCTCAGCAAAAGACCCTTGTCTCAATTAAACTGAGACAGTACCTCTGCACTGGAATCATCACAGGCTTTCCTATGCCAGAATAAACACAGGCAGGTAGGTTTTTTTAGATCTTTGCATAATTTTCTGTCTTTTATGAAGCCTGTAGATGTTTCTTATCTTATAGTTTTACTAAGGTTGGAAAATCCAATGCCAACACATGTCATTAAAACTTTCTCGCCGCCTCCATGCTCTTCCTCAGGGGTCTTTGTTTCAATCTTAAACATGATCTGGAAGAAGCTTCTCAGGTGTCGCAGAAACTCAATTCTGAAGAGAGAGAAAGCAACACAGTTTAAGAAATTAAACAGAAAGCCCATTAGCAGTATGTACTGATCCCAGCAATGAACATGGTGAATGAAACACAAAAGCCTTGCTCAGTCAAGGGAAAGAAGCCTACAGGCTTCGGACACTGTTCTCACTTGTGCTGTAGAAGTGAGTGGCTAGTGACCCCTACTGAAACCACTGCACTCTTTGTTACGAGCAGAGAGAGGAATGCCTGGTAACATAGCAAGACAAAATGGTGAGGGAAGAAAAAAGGGAGAAATGTAGCCAGGCAAGGTCATTTACTCATGATGCTGACTCCATCAGGGCTCTATGAACCCCATACCAATGGGTGGTACTCCATTTCCCCTCCCAACGCTTAAAGAAGAAATAAAAGCAAAACAGGGACAGCCAAAAGGCTGCGTGCATACTTTAAAAGAGAGATTCTAAAGCATATGCTTGATTTTGTGTTACTAACTTGCCCACTTCTTCTTAGCTAAATGTTCTATTAAAATCACATATGGAGTCAGACTTCTTACTGTTTTCTCATTAAAAACAAAACAAAAACACAAACAAAAACCAAACAAAAAAACCCAACCAAAAACCAGAACTAATTTTCCTTTCATCATTTTAGAAAGAAAGGCATGCAGAAATTAGACACAGTGCTCTGAAACACCACTGATTGGAGAACAAGTGACTGGAAAAACTATTAAAAAAAAGAACAAAAACAGCAAGAAAACATTTCTACTGCCTTCTCCAAAACGGGGAATAAACAATTATACCAAAGGACTACAAATACACAATTTGTAATTGTTCCTAACAAAGATTTGGTCTCTTTCAGTCATGGCCACAAGCAGGTCTGCAGGCTTGAACTAAGGTTTAATCTCCTCCAGCAATTGGTATGTGCTTTTCTTAGTTTAAGTTTAACCTCTAAATGTGATCCAGTCCACACATCTGTTTGTTTGGCAGTCTGAAAAAAGCCTCTGCTCTGCACACTGAAAGCATAATTGCAAGCTAATCCCACATACATCATTACAACAAATTAAGGAAAGTACCCACAAAAGGAGACCAAGAGGACAGGACAGTCCCCACAGTGGCATCATGAGGCCTCTGAAAGCCTCCTGGCAGCTCCTGTTCCCAGGAACTGTGAATAAGCACAGTGAATGTTGCAGGAGCAAAATTTGCCTTATCCACTTCAACTGGGCATGCTGATGTTTCTGCACTCAGATATATGCATGGGGAGAGGTGGGAAATGGCAGGAGCCAGACAATAAGTGGCTGCTTTACCTATACTGGTCTGTCCCTGGGATGATCTGACTTAAGAGTTATCTCTGGGGCAGTCTGATGAATACCTCTGCAGGCTGGAGGTGGGCACAGGGCTCCCAAAGCTATGTACACATTTCTACTGTACCTTCCCAGGCTGGTAACTTGCCTCAGCACAGACACCAGCTCTCTCATCTCTCAAATGGATTTAAGAGTTGAAAGAAAGAAATGAGAAGCACCTTTTCTTCCATGCCTCCCCAGCAGCAAGGTTTCTGGTTGCAGCTATAATAAGCAAATGGGCATATGCTGGCACAAATGCTTCAGTAAAGCTGAGAGGCAACAAGCTCTGTACCAGCCTTGTCCTTAGCTGGGTCCTCTGGCAGCATGACAAAAAAGCAGCCAAGTGTAAACCAGCAGAAGTGGCATGCTGGACTGCAAGGAGGGCACAGAATAAACTGTACAAATGAAATGCAGTGTGGAGCCGGAGGCTCAGAGAAAAACCCTAAAAGCTGATGAACAAACTTTGCAGCATGTTGGTGGGATTAGCTGAGTCCATACTTTTCTTTGCACATAGGTGAGCTATCATGCATCTCTGCCTGTTCTCCCTTTTGAATGAAGGCAGAGGGAGAAAACACGTTATCAGTCCCCATCTACATGGGAAAGGCTCAGTCTGGTGGAATTGAAAGGAAGGCTGCCTGGGGACATCAGAGGAGAATTTGGAAGCTGGAAAGATCCAGCTTTGTCTTGTAGCAGTAGAAGCACAAGTGGTAAGAGCCCTAGAAATAGGAGAGAAAGAGGGGGGAAGATAGGGGTACATGACAGAAGTGCACCAGAAAGCAGGTTTGTAAAAGCTCTGATGTTGATCTGGATCATGTATGGGCACCTCAAATAATAGTGCAGGCCGCACCAAAACCACAGGCACAGACTGGAAGACTGAGAGTGGGGGTGGAAGATACACAGAAGGTTTATTTTGCCGAAAATTTACACTGTGTGTTTACATGAACAAGGCAGAGCTGGACACTGCACCTTAGGCCCAGGGACAGCTACATGAGCCACACTGGAGGTTTTCCTTATGGCCAACAACAAAATCAAACCAAACCAAAGTTAGAAAAAAGAGTTAAAAGTCTGTATATCTAGGTGCTGTCTTTTCCTCAAAACCTGCTAAGGAACACCAAAAGGTACACAACCACTTCATGTGTCAGGGCAAAGCAACCAACTCACACACCAGTATGAGAGAAGGCCTGTGCACCAGCAATGCCTCCCTGGTTCAAGTGGCCCGGGACTTGCACAGTGCTCTGCCTGGCAGCGCCAGCAGCCCCAGCACTGCTCCCCTTAGTACTGACAGAGATCTTCCCGGGAAAAGACAGCCCAAGGAGCTGGAGGAGGGCACTGCCAGGCAGGGGAACAAGTGAAAGCATCAGCCTGGCTGGTCAGAGGCACCCTGACCCCTCCCCTTGAAGTCCCTAAGCCCTTGCAAAGCCAAGAGTTGAGGCACTCAGGGGCACTCCTCAGGCTTTCCTATTGCTATCCTTCACAAACCCCTGGCTCATGCCAATCCACCTGCATGCAAACAGGTCTGTCCTGCCAGACTGAGTCAGTGGCAGAGCCAGCACCCTGCATTTGATTTTAAGCTCAGCTCGACAGAGGCACTTACTTCTGTGAAATCTGAATGATAAGAAAAGGATAATGCAGATGGCTACTGGCCAAGCCGTCTTTCTGGGACAAGTATCCCCAGTGCTGCTCAGGACAGCCTATTCAAAGTGTTGCCTGCCCTTCCGCTCCTCACCATTAGCTGGGGCAAAGGATGCTTCTACGAAAACACACAAGTCTTAAAGAAATATCCTCATTCTGATGCCATATTCCAAAGCACCATGCACCCCTGGGGTGCTCTCAACAGCCAGCTGAGAGATACATGCTACAGTATGGTAGACAGGGAAGCCAATCTAGCATAACACGGCTTTTAAATAGCTTCAGATTCTGCAATGTGAAAGTGTTAAGTACAGAGATGTCACAGCACCACGAGAGGAAAGAAGGGACAATGATAGGGAACATGACAGTACTGCAATTTACTTCATAAGCTTGTGCATCTGATGAGTTGCTCGAGAGCCACATTTATCAGCCCTTTATAAGCAGCCTTAGCGAGGGCATGGGGGTGCTGCATACAAAGCTGTGTTTTCTCTGCGTAGATCCTTAAAGGACTGATGAGTCACATTCTCACAGAGTCACAGATTTTATGATCTGCTGCTCCAGGATGTGTGCTCCTGACATTTATCCCTGCTTGGAAGAAGTGACAACCCACAGATTTGAAATCAACACACTTACAAAATAAACTACTGTGTTTGCTTGATTATCATAGCACAACAAAAAAAAAGCTTTAAAAATAAAAAAGACTGGACAAGTGATTGAACTGTTTCACGTGCACTTAAAACACTAATATCTACTCTTTGTAAGCCTTTCACATGAATACTTACTTTACAGGGGATGACTTCACCTCTGTGCAATGGACATTTCCCTGTCTTCCCCTCAAAATCTGATGAATGTTGCTTCCAAGGTATCAGAGCTTGAAAAGAGCAGTTAGGCAATTTCTAGCTCTCATGTGATGGCACCACCATTCTTCAGTTATCACAGTACTGTACCTTTCACGTATACAGCACCGGTACCATGATAACCGAAAAAGGACAGTTCATAGTCTTATTATTTGATGCCATTGTCAGATAAACAAACCACCCTTCATTTGACTAAGAAAAACTGCTCAGTCTCTAGGAATAACTGTGATCTAATCAATCACTTGCAGGTCTGATAAAGCAAATTAAATTTTTGATACTGGATGCTCTTTCCCTAACCAGTTTCTGCTAGAACTCAATCTGGCCACTTCTGTAAAAGATAATGTGTTTTTATAAATACATTAATGACAAAAGGAGGACCAGAGAAATTCTCCATCCTTTATTGGAATGCAGAGGGGAACACTGTAATCTCTGATGAGGGAAAGGCTAAAGTACTTAATGCCTTCTTTGCCTCAGTCTTTAATGGGAAGATCAGTTACCCTCAGGGCAACCAGAGGAGAGCAGACTAGGAGTAGAATAGCTTTCCTGTAACCCAGGAGGAAGTCTTTAGTAACCTGCTATGCCGCTTGGACACTCCTATGTCCATGGAGTCAAATGGGATGACACTTTACATCATTTATCATCAGTCCTGGCTAACCAGGTAGGTCCCAGAAGACTGGAGGCTGGCCAGTGTGATGCCCATCTATGAGAAGAGACAGAAGGAGGATTTGGGGAACTACAGTAACAGCCCATGGCCTGGACAGGTGCACTCTTCACTGGGTAAAAAACTGTCTGGATGTCCAGGCCCAGAAAGTAGTGGTGAATGGTGCCACATCCAGTTAGTGGGCAGTCACCACTGGTGTTCCCCAGGGCTCAGTACTGGGGGCGCTTCTATTTAATATCTTCATCAACAACCTGGATGAGGGGATTGAGTAAACCCTCAGTCAGCATGCAGACAGCACCAAGTTGAGAAGGAGCACTGGAAGGCTCTGCAGAGGGTTCTGGACTGGCTGGATCAATGGGCCAAGGCCAGTGGTATCAGGTTCAACAAGGTCAAGTGCCAGGTCCTGCACCTGGGTCACAACAACCCCAGGCAGCACTACAGGCTGGGGACAGAGTGGCAGGAAAGCTGCCTGGTGGAAAAGGACCTGGAGGTGCTGGTTGACAGCAGCTGTACATGAGCCAGCAGTGTGCCCAGGTAGCCAAGGAGGCCAATGGCATCCTGGCCTGCATCAGCAATAGTGTGGCCAGCAGGACCAAGGCAGTGATCGACCCCCTGTCCTCAGCACTGGTGAGGCCCCACCTTGAATCCTGTGTTCAGCTGTGGGCCTTTCACTACAAGAAAGACATGAAGGTGCTGGAGCGTTTCCAGAGAAGGGGCCACAAAGCTGGTGAAGCATCTAGAGAGTAGGTTATATGAAGAATGGCTGAAGCAGCTAGTGTTGTTTAGCCAGGAGAAAAGGAGGCTCAGATGAGACCCTACTGCTCTTTACAACTACCAGAAATGAGGTTATAGTCAGGTGGGGCCCAGTCTCTTCTCCCAGGCAACTAGTGACAGGATGAGAGGAAACAGCCTCAGGCTGCATATCTGGAAGAATTTCTTCACTGAAACGGTCGTTAAGCACTGGAACAGGGAGGTGGTAGAGTCACTATCCCTGGAAAAGTTCAAGAAATGACTGGATGTGGCACTATGGTCTAGCTGGTAAGGTGATGTTCAGTCAAGGGTTGGATTGGGGGTCTTTTCCAACCTCGATGATTCTGTGATTCTGCAACCTGTGTTTACAACTAGCTATGTAAGAAATTTAGTCTTTTTCTCTCCTCTGAACACCTACCAGCAGCAGACAAAGCTTTAATAAAAACTGAGACTGAATGACTAGATAGAAATCTCCTGCCCGAGAGGGGTAAAACTTTGAAGTAGCACATAGCTCCATGAATTAAAGTCTTCACCTATTTCTTGTGGACAACCACAGCTTTAGAATTTGGCTAGCCATTTGAAATACAACATTTAATGACACAGCTACAGAGAGATCACTAGGAAAACACACTAGTGTACACTAGGCAACAAAAGCAAACTGATGTACACATATAATCCAGGTCAAGAACCATCAATAAACTCTGTCTCTGCAATTCTCAGAAACAGGAATAATATAGAACAGTAAGGGAATAATCATCTAACATGTAGAAATAAACTCTAGGTAACTTATGCCACTTGTTCCATTTGAAGTCAGGTACAAGTTGTTCTATTCATGACCACAGACAAAGTCTTTTATATATAAAAACAGCTGTGCAATAAAACTAGTGAATTAAAACAAGACTGCTTAATTAAACTGAACAAAACAACTTACGTGTATGGAGACAGAGGTCCTAACAGGACTTTGGAAACATCCTGTTGTCCAAGGGTCATAAGGAGCAAAGCAAGGCTCTGATTTGTTGAATCTACACAGCCTCCCTGCAAACCAAAATGTTTTAATAATTAATTTTTGTACAAACCAGAAATTGGGATGGGAGGAGAGTAATAAAGGGAACAGATACACTTAAAAGGCTAAAATACCACTCCCAATTTTCAAGGGCCAAGAATATAAAAATCTAGATTTAGTAACAATGACAAACTAATTTCACATGGCAGGCTGGGAAAGAAAGAATTAAAACAAACCCCAAACAAGGTCACATTAAACATTCTTCCCATCCCTCCTAATCTATTTTAACATCACAGAAGATAAACACTGAAGAATTTCCTTGCAGTAAATTTAAAAGAGGTACTAATTGTGTTCATATGCCTTTGAAGATACCATGAACTGCAGCACTTTACATATTTGCCAATCTGAAACGTGTACAAGAAGCAGATGAGAGTTTCATAGGGAGTATTCCTGACACTGGACTTTCTGTATTTGTAGTTCAGTTAATAATTCATAATGCTCTTTATCACTTGGATAAAAACTAAATTTTCTGAGCTTGTTTTTTTGTTTTTCTAAAGCTGTAAACATTATAAAACATCTACTTTTACAATCAAATTTATACAAAAGCTTCCATCAGCATGGTGCCAACCATGTCCTAAACAATATATCAAAACACAATGCATCCATCATGTCCTAGCTGCTTACATAAGCTGTCTTGCTACAATGAGTAGCAAGTTTTTCTGTGTACAAGCAATGTGCTGTTTTGCCCATTTGTGGTGGTACATCCCCCCTGTACCCTTGGTCCACTCTACAATATCCCCAGGATTTCTCATTAGACCTTGACCTTGATTAATAGCTCCTAGGCAGTTAACCTCTTCTTGAGTTTATCAGAAAAACTGTTTGTTCCTAGGATCTTCTGTTGCCTAACAAACTGCTGTCGTCTAATGGACAGCCTTGGAATATTACTTTTGTCTAAATTATAGCCCAGGTGGAATGATATTACTGCTACTGCACCTTTTGAGGAAAATTTCAGTAACAATCAACTCAGATGTTGGCCAGGATGGAGACTGACAGAAGATTAAAGGCAAGCATCTCACAACCCTATACGCAGCAGTCCTAAGTGAGGCTCTTTGAGCTCTCCTGGGCCACAGCAGTCTGCACCAGCACCTCCCTCTCAGTGGTATGCCTCTAGGAGCTCGCCAGCCCTCAAGTTTGTGACACTTAAAAGACAACCACCCAAAGCTGTTGACGGGACCTGGGCTGATACCCTTACTCCTCAAGACTGAACTCTTCACTTATTGAGAGGTGCAAAGGCATCTGATGCGAGTATTTCACTGAACTTGAAGGGAATTTTTAGCAGGTACCCTTGTATATGCTTTTTTGTGTCTATGTGTATGCATGTATGAATTGATTTAAATACGCTATAGCAACTGTAGTATGAATGTTTCCATCTTAGACTTACAGTTAAGTTACTACTGTGCTTATAGTAAACCTACTGAGTCATTTTGTAAGTGTTAGTTGCAGAATCACAGAACAGGTCGGGTTGAAAGCAACCGCAGTGCAGTCACCTGGTCCAACCCTCCCTGCTCTAGTAGAGTCATCCGAGAGCACATGGCACAGGACTGCATCCAGACATTTCTTCAATATCTCCAATGAGGGAGATTCTACCTCTCTGGGCAATCTGCTCCAGTGCTCGCTCATCCACACAGTAAAGTCCTTCCTCATGTTCAGGTGGAACTTCCCGTGCATCAGTATCTACACTTAGCTCTCATCCTATTGCTTGGCATGACTGAGAAGAGCCTGACTCCATCCTCTTTACATCTTCCCTTCGTATACTTAGAGACTTTGATGATATCCCCTCTCAGTTATCTCCTCTCAAGGCTGAACAGACCCAACTCACTCAGCTTTTCCCTGAGAAGAGAGATGCTCCAGTCCCTTAATCATCTTAGTAGCTTTCCACTGGACCTGCTCCAGGAGCTCCATGTCTCTCTTGTCCTGAGGAGCCCAGGACTGGATACAGCACTCCAGGTGAGGCCTCAAAAGGGCTGAGCACATGAATGGATCACCCCCTTCAACCTGCTGACAATGCTCTTCCTAATGCACCTCAGGATACCATTGGCCTCCTTGGCCACAAGGACACACAGCTTGTTGTTCAGTGGGATCCCCAGCTCCTTCTCTGCAGAGCTGCTTTCCAGCAGGTCAGCCCCAAGTCTGTACTGGTGCCTGAGGTTATTCCTCCAAAGGCACAGGACCCTGCATTTGCCTTTGTTGAATTTCAGGCAGTTTTGCTCTGCCCATCTTTCCAGCCTGTCAAGGTCCCTCTAAAGGTCTGCACAGCCCCTTCTGGGCTATCAGCCACTACTCCAGCTTTGTGTCATCAGCAAACTCACTGAGGAGGCCTCTGTCCCTTCACCCAAGTCATTTATGAATATGTTAAACAATACTGGGGGACATCACTACAGGTCTCCACCGAACCCTGTACCACTGATTATGACCCTCTGGGATCTGCCATTCAGCCATTTCTCAATGTCCACTTATCCAGTCCACGTTTCCTGAGTTTACCTGTGAGAATGTTATGAAAGACAACTGTCAAAAGCCTTGGTGAAGTCGAGGCAGACAATATCTACTTCTCTCTCCTCATCCATTCAGGTAGTTGTTTCATCATAGAGGGCAATCGGATTGGTCAAGCATGTTTTCCCTTCAGTGAATCCATCCTGACTACTCCTCATCACCTTCTTGTCCTCTGTTGTCTGTGTGGATAGAGACAGTCTCCAGAACAAAGATCACCACCTTTCCAGGGATTGAAGTGATGCTGACAAGTCTGTAGTTCTCTGGGTCCACCTTCTTGCCCTTTTTTTGAAGACCAGAGTGATATTTGTTTTCTTCCAGTCCTCAGGCACCTCTCCTGACTGCTACAACCTCTCAAAGATGATCATGAGTGGCCTTGCTATGGTGTCCAATAGCTCTCTCACAGTCGTGGATGCATCCCATCAGGGTTCATGAACTTGTGGATGTCAGGTTTGCCTGGGTGTTCTCTAACTCAGTCCTTCCTGACCAAGGGAAAGTCTTCCTTCCACCCTTCATTTTCCCTTTTCTCCTGGGTCAGAGATTCCTGAGGGCTGATGTTGTCATCAGCAAAGAAGGCATTCAGTAACTGCTTTCTCTGTGTCCTCTCTGACCAGGATCCTCTCTCCATTTAGTACTGGGCCTATATTATCCTTTATTTTCCTTTTGTTATTGATGTATTTGAAAAAGCCCTTCTTGTTGTCTTTTACATCCTTGGCCATATTTAATTCCATGTGGGCCCTGGCTTTCCTTGTCTCATTTCTACTTACTCTGACAATGTCTCTGTACTCATTTCAAGTTGCCTGATGCTACTTCCATCTCCTGTGTGTTTCCTTCCTTGAGTAATGATAGGAGTTCTTTACTCATCCACACAGATCTCTTTCCCCTTTGCCCAATTTCTTGCTCATTGGGATGCCCCATTTTTGAGTCTGGAGGAAGTGACCCTTGAATATCAGCCTACTTTCTTTGACGCCTCTTCTCTGCAAGGCCTGTTCCCATGGAATTCTTCCGAAAAGATTCCTAAAGAATCTAAAAGTCTCTGGTCCCATGTTCATGTTTGTAATCTTAATTGCTGCCCTGCTTCCTACTTATCCAGTACTGAACTCCACAATCTCATGGTCACTACAACCAAGGCTGCTCCAGCCTTCTCATCTCCAACAGGGATGAAAACAGGGCCTTCCCTGTTTTCTACTATGAAGTCAAGCAGCACACCAATCCCTGTGACAAGAAGTTGTCATCAATGCTTTCCAGGAACCTCCTGGACTGTTCATGCTTTGCTGTGTTGCTTCTCCAGCAGATGTCAGGGTAGTTAAAGTCCCCCGTAAGAACTAGTGCCTGGTTCAAGAAACTGCTTCAAGCTGCCTGTAGAAAGCCTCATCTGCTTTCTCCCTCTGATCAGGAGGCCTGTAGCAAACACTCATAAAAATGTCAACCTTTTATCCTAACTCATAAGCTCACTACTTGCTCATCATCCACCCCAAGACAGAGCTTAACACATTACAGGTGTTCCCTTACACAGAAGGCCTCCTGGTCTGTCTCTCCTAAGCAGTGTATTGCCCTTCATGACAACCTCCAGTCATAGGAGCCATCCCACCATGTCTCTGTAACTGCAATGAGATCGAGGCCCTGTGACAGCATGCAGATCTCTAGTTCCTCCTGTTTGTTCCCCATACTGCATGCACTGGTGTATAGGCACTTTATAGAGGCATTTGATTCTGTCAACATACCAGTCAATTAATAAATGCTGCTATATCCTTTAGACATAAACCATTGATCAAATCTGAAGCTAAGTTTGGCAAAGGGGTCTACTGTCATGACCCAAAGGGAAGGTTTCTCTTATCCTTTTCCATCCTTACCTTTTGCATCCCTGCACTCCATGCAAATCATTGTAGATTGATTCTAATCCGATTTTCCTTTGTGCGCTTCATCTCTGTAGTATGCAATGAAGTGAACCTTGCCATCAAACTTTGTTGTACTTCAACAAATTGAAATAAAGCCTTCTTTATAAATTACCTTTCCTGGTGATTTAAGTGACCTAAACCACTCATTTGCAACACCATTCCCACATAATCAGTTGCCAGACACTGAAATTAAGTGATTGCTTGCAATCTCAGAACAGTAACTTCTGCCGAATGAAGGACTTCACACTCCCAAGGAGGCCAAGTTTTTTTCTCTCAATCCAGCTGCCACTTGCTCAAGAATCCAAAATCAAAAACAACCCTCCCAAGAGAAATGGGATGGGCAAAGTCAGAGCCAAAGTCAGTCGTTCTGAAATAGCTGGCACTCATTACTAACCTAAGGTGCAGCTTCTAGGCTCTATTAATTCAGCCTATGGCAGTTTCTCCATTATTGTTTCCATTGACAATAGATCCAAATCCGGCTAGATGTGATAATTGGACACAAATAACTTAAAATCCCATCCATTTTGAAATGTTGTTATATAAATGCCACAACTGATATGTACCTATATATATATCACAGCTCTGGTTATTGAACAACAGTGTTTCAAAAAGGATTTTGAAAGGATTCTTCTGACCTTTGATTTAGTGTTGGTTATATTTTGGCATATACCCAATTTCCTCCCTTACCTGGGCGGTACATATTTGCATACCTCAATAATTTCTTACATAAAGGGTAAAAATTATTGCAGAGGGTTTGTGTCTTGGTTTTTGTTTTTTTTTTTCTCTCTGAAAAAATGGAGTAGACTCTTGCCACACTGAAGTAAGGCTATCTTGAAAATTAAGCCTCCAGTGAAATCCTTCAATCATTTTAGCTCTAGTTCAACAAAATCAACATCCGTAGCCTTCCTGCCCCTCCAAGGTCCCCTAACAACTTGACCTTTCTTCATTAAAGAGTTCAGCCTTAAACAAGTATTGCAGCCTCTCCTATTTTTCATCATCACAGGGAATATAAAAATTAAATCCTTTTCCAGTTCTTCCAGGCCTTTCAATTTGCAATTTCCAATTGTTTGCTATATAAAGGTCCCATAAACAATGCCTTTCAAAGACAAGAGCTAAAAACCTCATTGGCCTTCTACAATTAAGCTTCAGAGAGAATTGCACATGAATTTGTAATTACAGTGCTAGTCACTCCATGCCCTCTCTTACAGAGTCAATGCAATTAGCACTGTTCTGTTTATTAATAGTTAATTAGCTGACATCTTTCCATGAACAAATGCACATAAAAAAGCTCCACAATTCCAAGAATCATACAAACTCTTTCATTTCTTTTTTAAGGCTTAGTAAAAGGATCATTTAGCACTTAATGTTTCAAGGCTTAAATCCTCTGATTTCCTAGGTAAAGCAAGCACTTTATGAAATCTCCCTGGGCTCCTTTAAACAGTAATGAACTCTAGCAGATTTGCGGGTGACATGAAAAGCTAAAGCCCTTTCACAGTGCTCTCAGGATGCCCTTCTCTGGCCAACCCTCCCTGGATCCTACACAAGCACAGTACCTACAGGAAAAAACACAGATGGAGAAACAATCTCATAACGAGGAGATCTAAACACAGGAAAAGAAATTCTCTCTTGAGCACTGTATTCAGTGACTAGGTGGTGTAAAGAGAGTGGCACTTAAAGACTGCCTGTTCAGAGCAATCTGTTCCTGCTTTACCAGATTTTTAGTTTCATTAAACATCCTAACTAGGCAAAGAAACACAAGGAAAAAAAAAAGTATCTTATAACTAAACAAACACTGCACACTTGGCAAGAAGTTTTTATATCCTCTCTGGGTTGACACTAGATTCAACTGACCTAACAAAAAAAACCTCCAAAAAACAAACCAAGCTTTCAAAAACCAGACACCAAAAAAAAGCCCACCCCAAAACAAAAACCAAACCAACCAACCAACCGACCAATCAACCAAAAAAACACCAGAGAGAAAAAACGAGAAAGAAACTACATATTCCCAAATATCAGGCTAGCACTGTACAACCACATGTATCATACATAAATTCAAGTGTGTATTCTGAAAACTACATAATAAAACCCATCACATTGCCTATAACAGAGGGAGTGAGGAATTCACTAAATAAGGACCAAGCTAATCCAGTGGATAAGCAGCACAATAGCCAAGAACGCTAACAAGTTTTCCACAGTGAGCTGCTGTAGTGGAGAACAAGCAGTCTGTACACTGCTCAGCTTGTCAGTCACTCTTGGAACTCAAGTGGCCCACACGGAAAAGAGTTTTCCAGGAGCACCAGCAGTACTAAAGCAGGCCACAGCTAACACCCTTACTTGCAGAGAATCTGATCCTCAAAGACACTGAATCCTCACAGCCTATTACTTTATCATTCAAAGACCTGCCTGACCCTGCTTCCTCCTCAAACAATTTTTTTCTTGTCTTGAGATCCTTACTATCCTTTGCAAAATTTGACTCAGCAAATGGCTGCAGTACACTAAAGCAGAAAGTTACCTAGTTCAAGCCTTTCCAGCTTGAAACTTTCATTTCAGAAGTTCTCTGACTTCTGACTCTGAACAAAGCATACTATCTGGACAAATTTCCTCACTAGTTTCAATCTGTCAAGTGCTGGATGGTTTTCAAAGGAAAAGATAGTTCTTGCTGGTGATAGAAGTATCTGAAAATTGGATTTTTGATGTCTCCAAACATCTGGCTACTTGAGGATGTTTTCCAAAACATTTACACAAAGCAATAAATATAAGAGTTTAGGTTGGGTGTGGGGTTTTGTTTGTTTGTTTTGTTTGTTTGTTTTATTTTTGTTGTTGGGTTTTTTTTGTGGTTTGGGGGTTGTTTTTTGGTGTTATTAGTGGTTTTGATTTGTTTGTTTGTTTGTTTGTTGTGGGTTTATGGGTGTTGTGGTTTTGTTTGTTTGTTTGTTTGTTAAGTTTGGGGGGGGGTGTTTTTTCTTTTTCGGGGGCGGGGCAACCGAAAGATTTTACAATTCACCCCTCAAATAAAAATAGCTACCTGATACTACATAATTATAGAAATAGACAGATGCTTCAGTTACTAGTTGTGACTATTCTCCATACATGCACTTTGAAGTGCAAGGGGCCTAGACAGTACCCAGGAACACAGGGAGAATATTTACTAGTGGTATTTCCATAAGATAAGAATTCTGGGCTACAAAAAAGAAGTCCTCTAGCAACATGGTGCAGATACTGAATAAACAAAGACAAAATATTAATGGAAGACTGATACAAGGGGAAAGTTGGTAATTCAAAAAGATGAAGGTTTTGCAGAAGGGAAAGGAAAAGATAATATGGTCATGGATAAACAAACTACTACAGCTGTGGATGTGATTTATGAGGTTGAGGGGCATTTTTATGATTGACCACATGCCCTAGTACAGAATCTGAATAATGGCATTTTTAACCCTTTGCAAAGTCCTCTCAGCATATTACAGTCCAAAGCAACTACCTTTTTTTTTTTTAACAGTGAGTATTATTTGTAGATGACTGCCTCCTAAAGGCCAAATGTGTTATGTCAATACTAAAAACTAGTTATTTTAACATTTGTGGAGATATGAAACAAAAGCAGGTAGGTTCTTTATTAAAGCAGAAACTCACTAGTGTGCTATTTGCCAAATCATTTGGAAGACCAAAAACTGCTCATCCACCAGATGTCTTGCCACAAATGAAAACCATTTTAATAATAATAAAAAAAATGAGAATGCTGTGAGAAAACATGATGCGAGTTTGGATTCCTAAGCAAACACTGTCCTAGCTGCTTTCCAACAAGGCATACAACCAACAGGTCTCAGTGCATTTGACTTCATCATCATCATCACAAAGTGGCCAACATGGAGGCCCGCTGGTTTTTTTTCTCTTCTTCTCCCTCGTGTGCTCTCCCACTCATAATACTCCATTCCAACTACTAGCTTAGAAGCATTGACTATATTCACCATCCAACTTCTTAAAAAAGCCCTAAAAGCCCATGTGAGGCTAACTGAATTCTGTTGTAGGCAGAAAGCAAAGAAAGAAAAATCTGCCGTCAGTAAGATTCATAATAACATCTCTTGGACATTGGAAATAACACAGCCTTATTAAAGGAACCATTCAAAACCATTCTTTACCTGGATGAAGAAGACACTGGCAGCACCAGATCATTCCTTGTTCAGATCTGAGCATGTCTAAGGGTGCCCCCAAGCCACCTTTTCCCTTTAACAATTTCATCACCTCCTTCCCCTACAGTTATAGACACAAAACACTGGCCTCTTACCCTGTAGATCTCCTCAAGCAACAGCTTAGCACAATTCTGGCCCAGTTCCTCGGGAAGCACAGCTGCTCCCTGGCCCTGAGGGTTTGAGGCTAGCTCAGCACTGAGAACAGTGCCATTGATCGTTTCTGCAGTAAGGCACATGCCAAAACCTGGTGATCTGAAAGAAAGGGAAAAAGTGCATTTGGTTTAAGAACAAAAATTGCGCAATGGGCCAAGAACTACTCCCAGCCAACCTCCTCTTTAAGTCACAAACAGCTCCTCTCATAGGGCAATACTGGGAATATGGACTTTCCAGGTCGATACATTAGATTCACTTGGAGGAAAAAAAAAATTAACAGCAGTATTTAAAAGTTGAACCAAGTATCACTGGCAGCAAAACCTCTATGCTGGCTACTCCTGCAACAAACTCTTTCAAAAGGAAAAAAGAAAAGAAAAAGCCATCCAAACATCAGAAACGCTTTTTTTTTTTTTTTAAATGAGGAAGTTATCTTTCACATTAATTTAATTAATGTTTGCTGAACATTTCAAAGATACCTGGTGTTTCTTCACTGTGACATTCAAAAACAAAACTACCCTTCTTTAGGGCTTGAACTCTTTCCCTGAAAGTTTCAATATTTAGCAAGATTAGACCGATCAGGGATATTGCAGTTGTACTGGAGTCACACTTATAATGAATGTGACAGCACAGCAGCATCAGAAACCCACATGTGCCAGTCAGGTGGAAAGGGATTCAGTTCCTCTTCCCATGCTACTATTCATCCCCATGCATGGGCTACATGTAGTAAACAGAATGCAGCTGTCTCAGTGCATTTGACTCTTAAATTTTATAGACAGATGAAAAAAGAAAAAAACAAACCAGAAACATGCAGCTCTCAGAAAAGTTTCTGCAATTCTGGTCACTGCTGACAGTCTTGAGACACAAGAGTTACAAACATGGGATATTAAATAGAATAAAGGACTGGAAGAGAGGGAAAATACTCCAAAATGAGTCAACAATTTCTAGATTTATGAACCCAACAAGTTTTAAGGTAGTATTTCAAAAAGCAGTAACAGTGAAAGAAAATATGCACGCCTGCATTTGAGTATAGAGCAAAAAGACAAACGAGTTATCCAGAACTCTTTCAACTTAAAAGAAAAGTGACAAGAGAATAACAGAGCTGACAGATATCAGTAAAATTGTCTAGGTCACATCCATCACTTCTGTGTTCTGCTGGCAAACAAAATTTGTAGAAGTACAGTAAATTAATTTTCCCTTCCTCAGTGGTGAAAAGACACTCCTTCAGCCATTCAGGAGAAGACAACCCACACTGTTTCAACACTTCCTTAAACCGGTTCAGTCCCATCCTCAATGCTACCATTTCCATCAGAAGGTGTACAGTCAAATTTGAATGTTGGTTTCCTCAATGTACCATGGCACCTCTGATCTTAATCTCACTTAAAAGCAAAGGATTTAAAAATTAAGAGAGCTCAAGTTGCCTTTAGGTGGCAGTAATGATGTACTGCATTCCTTATTTAAAATACCATACTTCTATCCCTGTTACATGAGTAAAACAAATGCATCTAGTGAATCATTTCATTTTTATCTTGTGGGGAATATTTATTTCAAGTCAGCAAACAGAAGATTGTAATCTAAAACTTGATAGAATTGCAGATCAGAACACCCTAGCACATGAACAAATGCAGAATTACATCTGTTCCCTGTGAATACTGGATACTCACTTTCCAGAGTTGACGCCCTTCATATGATCTGTGTAGATATAGATGTCTGGGAGGAATTTATTCAGGATGCCCCTTGCAGATTCCACCATTCTGTTTGCCATCTGTGGTGATACTCGGACAGAGTATCTGCATTTCTGAGCTAAGAAATTATTTGTGATCACAAAAGAAATTGAAAGTGGAGATTGACAAAAGTGGTCAAGAGGTCCCAACGCATTATTTCAGAGAGCATGGTTCTGTCCTGTACATCTATTCATAAGAGCTGGTCCACATTCCTGTACTTAGAGAAGCGTATGCATGTACGTGCTTTCTACAGTCTTTTAATTGATACACCTTGAAGTCAATTACACAGAGTGTGCTGAACAACAACCTATCATGACTGGGTAAATATGTCTCTTGAAAATGCACTTCAACAAATTCAAATTGCTGTTCTGTCATCCTGCGCTTTCTTATCATGGAGGAAGCCCCGCATTCTCTGCTCTTCATATACTATTAAAGCATGGGCCTGGCTGAAGTTTCTGTGAATTCGCAGCAAGAAATCCTGCCTTTCTTCTTCTATTGGGGAGAAATTGGGAAGATGAATAAGGAATTAAAGACAAGTGTTTTTAAAAAAAAAATTAATTGTAAAAGGTTGTAAGAAAAATATCTTTGCTCTCTCCAACCATTTTGCAGTGCTCTGAGGCTAAGTTCACTGACTCTCTAGTCACTAAGCATCTGAAGGTTCCAGGAAAGAAGAAATTACCACCTTCACCCCAACCCACCTTTTCACAGTACACAAGAGATGAACTGCTTTTCTGCCCTTGTACTCAGGTGCTGCTTCAGAGAAACTCCTAACAGATCTGCAAATGTACAAAGCACACTGTGCTCCAAATTCCATCCCAAGTATAATGCAGACTCATATTCTGCACATTTAACCACCCATCTATATATACATTCACACATGCAGAGAAACACATTCACAACTCCCAGCTAGCAAGGAGGAATTTCCTTTTCTACAAATTTCTATAGCACCTCTTGTGGACTAGGTAAATCAAAAACTTTAAGATTTTAAGGGCAAAATTATTAAATATTAATCAGAAAACTGATTGCTCTGTACCGTTGGTGCACTCAGTATTTTGGATGACTGTAAAAGGCTGCTGCAACACAACTGGCCCAGCTGTGAGGAAGCAGATTTCCTCAGATGAATCTCAAAGGGACAAAAATACACACACTGAAGAGACTTAAGGACTTATCCTTCCAGATATTTTGTTTTCTACTGTCTTGAAGGACCACTTAATGGCTAAACTAAAATAAGACTCTCTCTCACTGGGCTTCCTAAAGGCAAACCTGTATTCCTGAGAAAAAGCTCAGGAAAACTTAGAGGAAAGCAGAAGTTCAAAAATCTGTAGCTCACATACATCAATCAAAACAGTCAAAGTGGCCCAAAATGGTGCTCCGCACTAACACCAACTCAGAACAATGGCAGTAAAGCCATGACCATTGCTACCTCCTTCACACACAAATATATAGAACTACTCACTACACAGATGAATGGAGGCATAAGAAAAGTATTTTCTTCATCAGAAGACCACGGCAACCAGCCCAAACGCACAGTAAGCCACCTCCTTTTTGAACTACAGTATATGTATCCAGTAAAACTGCTCTTGCTTGGCAATATGGCACTCATCCAAATGCAGCAATTGGAAAGACCTCCTGTTCTCACACACAATTATGATGGTATGCCAAAAAGTAAAAGAAGGAACAGGCTGCAAGTCTACACCTCTGGCAGGAAACATGGCCTCATTTCTGCTTTCCTTTTGAGTAGTCAGAGACACATTATGTTTGGGACCCTCAATCACAAATTAAACTATAAGTTGACCCTTGCTCAAGACAGTTTCATCTAAGGAGTTTCTGATTTCTTCCTACAATGACAGCAGATTCATGACAGATACCACACAAAAAACACAAGAGAAAAATAAAATCAAAAAGAAAGAAACAATCCACAACATTAACTAGATGTGCAGATCTGTTTGAAAAAGTGAGGAGTTCTCAACAATATTTTGTGCCCTTATCTTTGGGTGGAAGTAAAACCTCCTCCGCTTCCTCTGCAATAGCACTACCAAAGGCAAAGAGCTAATGACCTTCTTTCCAAAACACAACAAAAAGCTCAGGGTGTGCAGTAAGGTGTAAACTGAACTAAGATTTAAGCTCCCATCTAACTTCTGCTAAACTAATTAACAACCTATTGTCACCTACTCAATGCATAAAAACCCTACTATTTGTTACTACTGGATTTACACACAGGGTAAGATTTCTTTTAGTGTTGCTTATATGATGGAAGGTATTTTAACTTTTTCTTGCAATTGAAAGATTTTAAATAGTGCTGTTTACTTTTAAATTTATTCACGTATCTACAGATGCTTGTTGAACAGCAATGCTCTGAACACAGCAGTTTTGAGACACTGTCCTGATATCTACTTGTGTGACCCCTCTGTGTAATGGTATGCTGGGTTAACTGGGTACATGTTCAACAACACCGTGCACTCCTGCGACTTCAAGTTAGTAGACTTATTTTTTTTTTAGGCAAAATTATATAAAAGTAGAAAAACAGTCAAACAAAAAGGATACGCAATTCCTCTGATACGCTTGATTTTGCCAGGGTCTGTAAACTGAATAGGCTGCAAGACCTTTCTCACTGGGCAAGCAAACAGTATCTCTCCACCCCCTTTGGGAGGCATTCCTCTCCGGTTGATCTAGAAACAATAATAGAGGGAAAAAGCAGGTTAGTAAAGAGTACAAAGAACGCACATACCCACCCCAAAACTTACAGCTTTTATTTCACAGAGAATAAAATGTTTTAAGTAGGGGCATTATGTGAACACAGCAAGAAAAAGAGATCCTAACGGCAGAAATGGATTTTGCACCAAAACTAAAAGCAAACATTGATTTCCTTTTTTCCTCTCAAGTACAGTAAGGAATGGTTTCTCAATAGAAAACAAAGCAAAACCAACCAAACAAAAAAACATCTTTACCAAAACAACCTTGGCTTAAGAGTGGTCTCTAGTAGCAAATCTGCACCTCATTGCTGAAGAAAGACTAGAAGCATTTGAGCTCAGTTGGTTAGAGCATGGTGCCAATTACACCAAAGTCACGGGTTTGATCCCCATATGGGTCCTTCAGTTAAGACTTGGACTTGATGATCCTTGTGGGTCTCTTCCAACTCAGAATATTCTGTGATTCTGTATAAGGTGGACCAGAATGAACTCATTCCCACAAGCAGGTCTGTCTAGCCTGACTCTGACCCACCATCCCAAGCCAACATCCACAAAGAGTGAGTTGGGACACGGGCCCATGACTAGGTCTGGCTCAGGTGCCAGGGCAGGGCTGTGGGAAGATGGAAACTGGCTGCAGGGCTACAGGAGTAGAGGCTGACAGTCCCAGGACAGTGACATGGTGACCTGGGCTGTGAGCAGGGTAGTGGGAAGCACCCAGGGATAAGGCTTGGCAAAGCAAGGCACTAGCAGACCCTAGTAGTGCAGCCAGGATCTTCACACATTTTAAATGAGTATTCTTAACTTTGAAAAGCTAAAGTTTCTTTCTCCAACACACACAAAGAAAAAAATCTATTTTATATCCAGATTTATTGGGCCTGTAAAGAATGTAGTCTTTAGGAAAAGCTTCTTTCCTTTATTTTCCAAACTGAAAGCAAAGAAGGCAAAGGATGACATTATTACTCCCTAGTCCCAAGCATGGGACATGAAGAGCAAGAAGAAATAAAAAGATATTAAATTATCTGAAAAGCAATAGGAAAGTAAGAAGGTTTCTTAGTCTTCTTTGGAGACTAAGAGAAGTCACTACTTCCTCCTTACCCCCATATCCATAGCCTTTACATCTCTCCACAATTACTGTGTGGCTGGTATGCCACCTAAAACATGTCAAGAACAAGGGGCAATTTTATACATGTATGTATCCACAACTAGATATCTGTTAGAGATAGAAACGAACAGCAAGCATATGGCCCTTTGAAGCAGTGCAAAAGTATCATTTCAACCTGTGCTAGAAAAGAAAGGAACAAACTGTCTTACCTTGATTTCCAGATTTTCACCATCGATTCCAAATTTCTTCAGCAGGGGTAGAGCTGTTGCTTTAAGGACATCAACCTATGGAACACAAAATTTAAAAAGCAGACTTTATCGGAAGTTATGCTAGTTGTAATTTAAAAATCACTGCATTATGAGGTGACTAACAAAGACAAGTCTTCTCCATACAAGTTATTCTATGGGAAGACATGGGAATATAGCACACAGAGCTTCAGCTACTCTTAAGTCTGCCACAGTATCTCATTACTAACAAAATTTGCTAGAACAAATTACTGGCAGATGGAATTTGCTATTCTGGCTCCTTGGCCTGATTTTTACTTCCATTATGGTTCAGCTAAAACAGCTCACTTGTTTTGCTGAACACAGTTATTGAAAAATTGCATTCTTCTGTCATTACTAAAAAATTCCTACAAATAAATAAATTACTGCAAGAACTTAATGCTTGCATTTTTGCAAGCATTACTACAAGAGGAGGCCCTTGATTTGGCAGGAGGAACATCATTCTTCTGTCAAGAACTTCTTTTCACCTGTTTCTGAGAAGCAGAAACTTCTATGTAACTTCTATTGAAGCATTTCAAAGAATCTGAGGCAGATGATACATCAATGTACTCTCTTTCAGCCAGGTGCTCAGCAGATAATGCTGAGATTGCTCTTCCTAGTTGCTGTTTTAAGATTACAGTGACTGTCCTCTTCCCTCTTCTGAAACTTCAGTAGCATTGCCAGAAGTGAAAAAAAAATTATTGATCACAGCACAGGGATTTACCCAAGACAATCAGCTAGGGAGAGACAGCAGCAGGACAGCATGACCAAAGAGTAACTAAATGCAAGTGGAGGAAACAGGCATGAGGTAGATAGCAGCTGAGGAGGCAGATAAAAACCACCCTCTTTCCCATGCCTTCAGCCAGAGGGCACAGTTCTTAAGTGTCATTATTTCTGCTTTGCAAAGAGCATAAGCCACTGACAACACAGTAGCACACACCTCACCTACAAATTTGTGAACATCCTGTTAAAGCTACCCAAGGAGCTATGGGTTTATGTTGCAGTTCTCACTCTTTAAATCCACCAGGACAACATACTTCCTTCTTGTGGAGAAATATTTTGGTGTTGTTTTTAGTGGTAGTATCAATATTTAAATGTCTTCATTAAAAAAAAACACAACCCTATAAGTCAATGGTAATTTTTTATATTTATGTAGTTGATGTTTTTTCAGCCAGGCTACCTTGATTTGGCCCTTCAGGATTATTCATTAAACACAATTTTTGATTTTTAGAGCAAAAGCCTTTACTAGCAAGCCCAACATGCATGTGCACACACACACAGACAAATGCGAATACCAGTGGCAGAAGCTTCAACAAGCTGATCTGGTTCACATTAAAATTACACATTTATCCCTCCTTCTTATAAAACAAAACATACCAGTGAAAAAAGAAAAGCTTCACTATGTAGGTTAGTAACTGTTTCTTGAACATTTCCACTTTTGCAATTCCTTCTCCAGAGAAATCATGTTATGCCAGCATTAGATACCTGAATCAACTTCGAGTGTGGCGTCTGTTTCCAAAAACTTCAAAACTTGTCATAGTTTTCAGTCTTCAGACAAATTCCATGATACGTATCAGGTACAAGACAGACATATAATAAGAAGCTGACTGTTCAAATTTGCAGCCTGAATAGAGATGGCAATCAGCAGTATTTGAAAAAGAGGAAAAGGGTGTTCTGCTTAGCAGATGAGTGGGAAGTCAGGCAGGATGCGAAGTATTTCACTGACAATCACAAGACAGTAGCTAAACTAAGACCTAAACTTATTTTTCTAGCCTTTTGCTGATCCTCAGCCATAAACCCAACATTCAGCTCCTCTTGAAGGGCAGTTATTCCCTTTCCAGAACAGACAACAAAAGCCAAGTTTAACCAAAGCAAATGGATCATACAACTGAGGGTATATCTCAGCACAAGTGATAGTAACATGCTAAGTCCCACAGACATTGCTTATTCAGAAACTGGTGCAATGCAAATGTTTTTCCTTTAAAGAAAGTTGCAAGAGTTTAAAAAAAAAAAAAGGAGTAGGAAAAGTAACTTTTAGGATCCCTTAGCTAGTGCAAAGCTGAAAAAAACCCAACAAACCACATACAGACCCTACACCTTGGAGAAGGGCAAGCATCATTTTAGTTGCACAGAATATCATCTAGCCCTGCCATACATACAGCGTTATATTTTGTTGAAAAGGGCGCAGACTGGGAAAAGGGGAAGAGAAAAAACAGAGTTTATCAAGGAAAAAAGAAAAGGCAGGGACGGGGGAGAAAATTCCATAGGAAAAACTTTTTTCCACACACAACTGATGAATTCTGAAGATTACTGCTTCTAAGCCAAAACTTCATATGCTTCACATCAGCATGTCAGTAATTTCACCTGAAAGTTACTCCAAGAACTCAGCCTGAGCTGTGCCTCACTGAACACCCTTCCTCTCACCTTGACCATTTCTACTCTATGCACAGAAGGAGATTTGCCACATTCCCTTTTGTCCTTCTGACATGGGGGTCTCTGGCAAAGAGGAACCTCAAACCACACAGCAATCACATCCCACAAATACTTCTGAGGCTGTGTGAAAGGTGAGAGCTCAGTGCTGAGAGTGGATTTCAGAAAGCCCTGCAGGTCAGCCTGCGTGCTTACTGCTCCCATGAGGGAAAGGTCTGGCTGCACGCACATTCCTGCTACTCACTTATCCGTGAGGATGCCTCCATGAGAAAATGCAGCAGGCACAGCTCTCTGTCATTTTGCCAATTAATTGAATTGGCTTAGGGAAGGCTGTGAGAAGTGTCCAAGGTATTAAGAATACACAGGACTGTATGGCTTTTAGGAGCAGGAGACATGGAGGAGCACAGGCTCCTGTTTGCCACCTTCTCTGTTCAAGTACAAATGGGGTGCTGTAGGATCATGAGTGTGCATATACATGTGTGTATGTACATAGATATTTTCCACATGCATACCTGAATTTGTAGATTTATCTGCAGGTGACAGATATTCAATACAGTTGTGCAAGGATACACTCTGCAGAATTCACCTAACTCCAAAAAAAAAGACACATTTACAAAACATTATATCCCTTTTTACAAATGAACAAAAATCCTCCAAAGCCAATGAGCGCACACCTTGTTTATTGTACCTGTGGTGGGTGAACCCTGGCTGCATGCCAGCTGGCCACCAAAGCTGCTCTATCACTTCCCCTCCTCAGATGGACAAGGGCAACAAAATATAATGAAAGGCTCATGAGTTAAGGACAGGGAGAGATCACCCACCAATTACCATCATGGGCAAAAATTACTTGACTCAAGGAAATTAATTGAGTTCACTGCCAATCAAGTCAGAGTAGGGTAATGAAAATAAAACCATATTATAAAAGCACCTTCATCCTACTCCTCTTCTTCCTGAGCTTAACTTTATTCCTGATTCTCTACCTCCTCCCCTTCAGTGGCACTAAGGGCAGGGAATGAGGGTTGCAGTCAATCCATCACACATTATCTGCTGTGGGAGGGCTCCTCACACTCTTTCCCTGTACTAGTGTGGGATCCTTCCCATGGGAGACAGTCCTCCATGAGCTTTTCCAACAGGGGTCCTTCCCACTGGCTACAGTTCTTCATGAACTGCTTCAGTGTGAGTCTCTCATGGGGTCACAAACCCTACCAGCAAACCTGCTCCAGTGTGGGCTCCTCTCTCCATGGGGCTACAGATCCTGCCAGGACCCTGCTCCAGCACAGGCTTCCCATGGGGTGACAGCCTCATTCATGCATCCACCTGCTCCAGCGTGGAGTCCAGCACAGGCTGAAGGTGGATATCTGAACTCCTGCTGACCTCCAGGGACTGCAGGGGGCAGCTGCTTCACCATGGGCTGCAGGGGAATCTCTGCTCCAGCACATGAGGCACCTGCTACCCTTCTTCACTGACTTTGGTGTGTGCAGGTCTGTTTCTCTCACATACCTTCCACTCCTCTCTCCAGCTGCAGGTTACTCCACAGTTCCCCCCACCCTCCACTTCCCCCTTAAATATGTTTATCGCAGCAGTGCTACCAACAAGGCTGATGGGCTCAGCCTTGGCCAGCAGTGGATCCATCTCAGAGCCAGCTGGAGGGGCTCTGTTGAATGTGCTGGAAGCTTCTGGCAGCCTCTTACAGGAACCATCCCTTTAGCACCCCACCACCAAAACCTGGCCATGCAAACCTACTAATCTGAGATTGAGTGGTTTTCACATCAGGTGCAGCAGGGAAAACACCTGCCCATTTTGAACTCCCAGATTATATTCACATTGGTTCCCCTTTCCACCTTCTCCGTGGAAAGTAAGAAAGCATACAGATGGGTAGACAAATTTAGGCATCCCTTTTTGGAAAAGCATAAGTAGTAATTGTTCACCCAGTTTATAAACACCCTTTGCCTACTGAAAAGGAAAAGCCCAAATCAATTTAAAACCAAGTTTCCATTTACTTAAGCACATAAATCAATTAGGGTAGCACTTAAATTTGTGCTTTTAGTCTCAGCAGCCTGCAGACCCATATGCTACACAAAACAACTTGTAAAGCGCATTTAAGTAGTTTATTGGAATCAGGTTTAATGTTTACTCAGGCAAGTTAAACAGACATAAACCATGTTTAAACCAATTTCAGGAATTGGTAGTCAGTTATTACACTGAAAAAGTTACTAAGCATGAGCCGAGTCACAGTAACTGAAATTGTTACTGTGTTAGCTGTCACTAACAAATACTCTGTAGTTGCTACTATGACACAATGAACTTAAGATGTGACTCTTTAGCATGCATTTTATTTACATTTAGTGTCAGGAAGGTCAGCTGATGAATGCCAACACCCTCGCGCTTGAGCTTTGGCAAGGGCAAACCCTCTTCAAGCACAAACAAACTGGCTTAAATTCTTGCACTCTTTTAAACTAAAATTGTTTAATCTCAGGCCCATGCGACTGATGCTTAAAAAGAGATAATTTCCAGAACCAACTTGGTTGCTTAGATGACTGTCCAAACTTACTTGAAAGCAACATCAACACTGGACTGCTCTTCAACTCCTTATTTGCAATAATTTCTCCAGTGTGATTAAATAAACATAGTCAACAAAAAAAAAGACTTTGATTCTTATTAAGGACTTTTGAACAGAACGACTGAAAGGTTAGCAAAACATGCTTCCCTTTTTTTTTCACAGTGCTGTGTACAACCCACTTTGATCATCTCTTGACTCATGTGGATGTCTCACATAGCCACAGGTGAGAGAGTTAGATTTTTAAATGAAAAGAAAAGCACAGTTGAAAAGTCATTAATACTAGAGGGACTTAGAGGCTTGTCTAATATCTGCAGTTATACTTCACAGTATTTGTATTCATTTAAACTGGCTAAATTTTCAGATTACAGTGTTTCCTTAATCTACTCGGAAGAAAACAGTCTCCAATCACCATTCAAAAAGTAAACAGAAGTGCTGTTCCCCAAAAGCAAAGTGTTTTAATCCCATGTCATCCATAGTTCATTTTTGTAACAACACTGTTACAAAACAAAGAACTGCAAATCAGCAGTAACAGAAATCAAATCAAGCATTTATAATTTGATCTATTTGACCAAACCTTCTAGCATCTTTCTAAAGAATCAGAGTCATTACGTATTTTGCTACTGAAATTTTCTAATTGACATGTGATTTCTATTTCTAAATGAAAAAAGGCTTCACAGCAGATTACTATGTCCAGAATCCAACAGAAGAGAAAGATTCCTTCCTTTTCACATTCAAATTTTAAAGACCATTTCCTCTTTATACAGTAAACACATGGGTAGGAGAAATAATCTTTCTAAATTTTAAGAGAGGAGGAGAACCAAATCTGTGGCAGGGCCTCACAGTGCATTCAAAAGGAGTTTGCAGGGGAGAAGACAGAAGCAGTACAGAACTGAAAGTCAAAGTGTGGATAATAAACTGCAGTTTAGAGTGTGATGTGGAGAGGGAACAGTTTAGCAGATGTTTCCTTGATTCAGAGTTTGCTGGTAAATGCAGTAACACTGGATACTTCTGGATGTTTTAGACACTCCTCCCTAATATTTTTTTTCAGTGGGGGGGAAAATATCCTCCTCTGGTACTCAAACTTATTACTTACCGAAGGGTCTACTTGATCATTTGTTACTCCCCTCAAGACAATCTTCAATGGATGCTTCATGAAAGGTGCCAAGCACAGCAGACTTTCCAAATAGTAACCAATGCCACGACTGGGGCTGCAGTCGTGTTCCAACGAGCCTCCATACAGAAGCCCTGGCTGATAATACAAAGTAGTACCTGGGGAAGATGCCAAGAGAGCAAGCCAAATTAGAGTACTGTAAGAGCACTGGCCGTTACTACAACATAAACATACTTCGCAACAATGTATACAGGCAAATTGGAGGCAGACGAATTTATGCAGTTAGTAAATGGGTCAATGCACACCAGTGTCTGTCTGCCCCGCACGGCATTTCTCCTTTTCCCCTCCCCCACAAAACCAAGGATCTCCAAAGTAATCTCCAAAATACTGATACAAGCGACAATTATCCTCCAATAAAATCTTCATCAGGTCATTGATGCTCTGGCATCAATGTGGTTTTGTCTGCTTTACTAACCAACAACAATCCTTAACATCCTTAAAAAAAAAGAAAACTCCAAACTAGATGAAATGCTATATAGGGTGCTTCTCACTCTAACCAAACCCTTCTCTAAGCACGAATAAGCAAGCACTCTTGCTAAGAAGTTTGTTTTTGCAGAGCGCAAACCTTTCCTCCTACAAAAATCAATTCTGGTTCAGAGGAACTTTCCCCCATGAGGAAATACTGCATATCCAACAAAATTCTAATTTTAGTTCTTGGGCAATACAGTTTTCTTTAGCTCTCCACTTTATGGAGGAGCACTGATCTTCTTGCACGCAACCAATTACTATAAAACTTCTTAGCTTGGTTATTTCTGATCTGCTCAGGCAATCAGATCTGAACACCTAACTCTGTGAAGACAAAACTCTGATTCTGCTGCAGAAACTGATAAAGCCTGGAAGATCAAAACAGAGACAGCAGAGAAAACAGAGTTTACCTGTTTGGTTTATTTCAATCCGAGAGCCATTGGTCACTTTGTCAATCAGGCGAATAAAACTTGCTTCAAAATCTAAGGAGTAAAACACAGAGTTTTACAGTTTCCTAAAGCTCAACACCATAGTTTTTACTTTTTCCTGACTTTCACAGTGCTGCTGCTGCACAGCTGTTCTCTTGCTTATGTGGGCTCCAGCTCAAGAGATATGGGAAAGGACTACTAAATTTAACACAAAACAAAAACAACACTTCCCTCCAAACCAACCAAAACGAACTATGAAAAAAAAAACAAGACAAAATAAAAACAAAACACCGCCCCCAAAAAAAAAAAATCCCAGGAGGAATATGCTACTATTCTAGTACTTAGGTATCCCAATATGGTACACACTCAGTATCAAGGGAGATACATGAACATATACAGTATTCAAAACACAGGCAGTTTAAAGGGCCAGCAGCACCTGTATAGTTGTTGGTAGACTGCAGAACTTCCTTAGCAATAATCATTTGTTACTTCTTAAACAGTAATCAGATTTTTTTCTACATATGCTTCTAACACAGAATAGCAGAAATTATAGTTTGCCAATATTTCCATAATATGATTGATGTCCCAGTCACATAATACTGGTTCTGCTCTTTGTTTTGACAGTTTCTAAAGTTTATGACAGTTCATATGTTTATAAAGTTTATGACAGCACTGAGGCCTCTTCCCGTACAAAACTGCATCCTTGTGAGCACATTTCAGTCTTGAAGAACATGTGCAGAAGAATTCTCTCTACAAATGTTCCAGTTATGAAAAGTAAAAAGAACTGCATGCTGAATCATCAGCACAAATCGGCGTTTGTTGTTATTATTTTTCTGTTGCAGTCATAGTTTACACTTTAACTCATACTCAAAAAAGGCAATTCAAACACCTTTCAAAAAAACATGGTAAACCTACAAACTTCACCACTGCACGGTGATAAAAAGTATTTTGGATCATAGCAAACGTTAAGTCAGCTGTACAAGAATGCTTTGACAGTTTCTGAGGAGAATTTCCAGCTGCAAACTGAAGCCTCCTTAGGAGGCAGAGCAGCATCTACCCCTCTTCTGAACTTCACAAGAGGGGTCCTCGCCCCAAAAATAACTGAACGCTATGACAACATTTCTTCCTTAATCTCTATCCTACTGTCTTCTTACTTTGGTTTATGATGGAATTGACCCTGGGATGCCAGAGGTCTTATACAGGAATGAAGAAGGAAATCCCTAAGAAAGGTTTCCCTCAAAGAAGTCTGCAGTGCTGGAAGCTTTCAGAAATTAAAAGTAAATGAAATCCACCTCTTTCACCTTTATTGTTAGGACAAACCCTAATAAAAATCAAAGCACAACGCCTGACCCACTAACACTGTGGGAACGGGGGCTCCCACAAGCAGACGGAACACACAGTACTTGGGCACGCAGTCCGAGGGCCGGGGAATTATTCTGCCACTCCCGACTGCGGAGCCGCCGTCACGGGCACACGAACCAACTCCGGGTCTGCCAGCGAGGCTCACGCACAACCCAGCGGGCAGGTCGGAACCATGTCTGGCTGCTCCCGCACCGGCGCTGCCCTGCGGGACGGGACGGCGGCGGACGGCGCGGTGCCCTCCCCGTCCCACTGGGGCAGCTCGGGCAGGGCAGGGCGAACCCCGACCGGCCAGACCGGCCCTCCAGGGCCCGCGCTGGAGGAAACGCGTGACCGCGTGGAAAGGCAGGGCTGCCGAGCCGGCGGGACGGGGATGGCACAGACCGGCGGGTGGGCGACAGCCTCCCTGCTCCCGGCTCCGACACCGCCCTGCGCCGCTCCCACACCGCCTCCTCCTCCTCCTCCTCCCAGAGCCCTTGTGTGACAGCTCCAGCCGAGACGGCGCCGGCGGCTCGCCGCCCGCACCGGGAGTGCACAGTGCCCAGGGGATAGAGAAACCATCCACGGGGAGACACCGACCCGCAGCTGCGTCCCATCCTCTCCGGAGGGAGGGGGCTCTGCTGCCCCAGCCGCCGCCGCGGGGCTGACCCTGCCCCGCCGCAGGTCCCGACCCTGCCCCGCCGCAGGTCCCCAGCACAGCCGGCGCCGGAGCTCCGCCGCCCCCTGACCCGACCTCCTCCCCCGCGGCCGCCGGTGCCGCCGCTCACCGCGGAGCCCAGGGTCCTCCTCCTTGGCACGGATCTTGCGGATCTTCAGCGGGCGCCCGCTGAGCGTGGCCAGCACCAGGCGCTGGCGCAGGAAGTTGCATCCCGCGTAGCTGAGGCACTGCGCCTCGCCCGCCATCCCGCGGCCCACGTGGTTGAGAACAGGAAGCGCTGGAACAGCGGCGGGGCAAAGGGCAGGGGGCGGGCGGGCGCTGGGAGGGGTCGGTCCCGGCCCCAGCTCCACGTCTGCCGGAGGCGCCGAGCGGCGCAGCTATCGCAGGGACGGCTGTGACGAGGTTGTCGCCACAGGGCTGGCAGCTGCTACCTCTGCGTGTGCACTCCCTGCCTATGTGTTTTTAATTGAAACCTAAGAGTTTGAAAGTGTCGGTAGATGTGTGTGGCCGAAGCGCCGTGCCCGCCCAGCCGCTCCTCCGGGCGGTGCGGGCTCTCCTCGCGGGCGGCGGAGCAAGGACGGCCCAGACCAGAAGAACATGGTGCCTGCGCTGGGGTGGCAGTCCCGACACCGAAATGAGTGGGTTTCTGGGATCGCGTTCCCTTAGACAGTCGTTTTCAGTAATTTATCCCTGCCTTAAGGGAAACCGAGTGGAGGAACGAGTGAATGTGACTTGCAGTCCTCAGGCGAGCGAGTTTGCTAAGTGACAGTGCCAGAGCCCAGCTGTCCTTATTGAGGAGACCGAGTGAAGCGTTCAGCCTCTGCTTTAAGACAAATGACGATTACAGCGGAGGTGTAACAGTGTCAATTGCTAGGCTACATTTAGGTGTGTTGAAACAGAACTTAGAGTAGTTACAGTTGGAAGGAACCAGCAACAGCCATCTTGCCGAACTGCCTGAGCACTCCAGGGCTGACCAACAGTTAAAGCACTGTCCAAATGAGAGTTACCCACTGATAGGCTAAAAGCTTCAGACAGCCTCTCTAAGAAGCCTTTTCCAAGGTTCGACTACCCTCTCTGTAAAATGCTTCCAAATGACAAGTCTGAATGCCCCCTGATACAGTTTTGAACCATTCCCACGTGTCATATCACTGGATCTCAGGGAGAAAAGATCAGCCTTTTCATCAGACTAGACAAGCCCAAAGTCTGTAGCAGCTCCTCACAGGATATGGTATCCAGTCCTTCCACCAAGCTTTCTTGCCCTACTCCAGACACATTTGAGGACCTTCGCACTGCTCTTAAATGGTGGGGCCCAGACCTGCCCACAGCACTCAAGGTGAAGCCCTGCCTTAATGCTGAATACAGCGGACGGTCACCTCTTTTGATGGCTGGTGTTGCTATGTTTGGTGCACCTAGGATGGGTTTTGTTGCCCTCCTGGCTTCTACAGAGCTGCTGTGAACCAGCACCCTAAAGCCCCCTGTACAAGGCTGCTCTCCAGCCATCCCTTTCCCAGTTTAGACTTGTGTCTGGCCTTTCTCTATCCCAGGTGCAGAATCCAACATTCTGACTAGTCATTTTCATGCCATTTGTGATTGTCCAGTGCTCCACTCTGTCCAGACCCCTCTGCAAGAACTCTTGTGCAGCAATAAAGTCAATTGCACCTCCCAGTTTAGTTCAGCAAAGGTCAGACTACTTTCTTTACAAAGAATATAATTTTTTTTCTCAGTAAATTGTTTTTTTGAGACCAAAACTTTTTTTTTTTAACCCCAGGATAGGGATTCTTTAAAGAAACTGCAGGAACTAGACCTCCTTTTGATGGCTGCTTGCTGACTCAGTTTTTCTGATCAACATGCATAAAGATAATTTTTTGTATTAAGAAACCAGTCTGCATCTAACTATCCTAGAAAAACAGAATGACTTGTGTTGGAAGGAACCTTTAAAGATCACTTAGTTCTAACTCCCCTGCCATGGGCAGGGACAACTCCCACTAGACTAGGTTGCTCAAAACCCCATCCATTCTGGCTTTAAACACTTCCAGGGATGCAGTGTCCACATCTTCTCTGAGCAACCTGTTCCAGTGCCTCACCACCTTCATTGCAGAAAAGTTCTTCCTTATGTCCATTTTAAATCTACCCTCTTTCAGTTTAAAACTCTTGCCCCTTGTCTCATAACTATTTTTTGGTAAAAAGTCTCTCTGATAAGCCCCCTTAAATACTGGAAGGCTGCAATGATCCCTCCCAAGGCCTTCTCTTCTCCAGGCTGAACAACCCCAGCAGTCTCAGCCTTTCTGCAAGGAGAAGTTATTCCAGCCCCCTGATGATTTTGGTGATCCTCCTCTGGACTGTCTGTATCAGATCTATGTCTTTCCTGTACTGAGGGCTCTAGAGCTGCATGCAGGAATCCAGATGGGATCTCACAAGTGGGGAGTAGAGTGGGACAATCACATCCCTTGACCAGCTGGCTTTATGCAGCCCAGAAATAAGGCTGGCTTTCTGGGATGCAAATGTGAATTGCTGGCTCATGTCCCATTTTTCATACACTCAGATTTCTTCTCCACTCAATTCATTCACCACCCAGTACGTACAGATATTGTGGATTTCCCAGACCCAGGTGCTAAGGCAAAAAATCAAACCCAGAAAAATTATATGCATGAATCAAAAGGCCACATCTGTGCTGAAACAAAGCCTAAGAAATGTTCTTAAAGGAAGCAGGCTGAGAAACTGGTGAAAAATGAGGATCAGAGAATGACAGTAGTAATACTGCATTAATTCACACTTGCAATGTCCCAGATTTCTGAGATAGGGGTAAAAGGGTCTAGAGCTATTTGTGTGCAGATGAACATATGTGCCTTTTTTAGAAAAAGGGGAGTTTGTCATGTTTTTGTGGAATCAATGAAATGTAGCTTTCTGTGTGTTAGAAATTTGTTATCAGTTGCAATGAGCCCTGCTACACACCTTAGTAAGGAGGCTGGCTCTGTCTTCTCAAGTAACCTGCTCATGGGTGTTAGAAGGCTGCTATTAGGTATCCTGAAGCCTTCTTCTTTCCAGTCTCAACAAGCATGGTTCTATCTGCCTGTGGCAGGGCTTCTTCTGCAACCCCTGATCATCTTGATCACTTCCTGCTAAACCTGCCCCAGCTGATCAATACCTGTCTTGTACTGAAGAGCCCAAAACTGACAACAGTACACAGGTGTGACCTAAGGAGTGCCTAATACAGGGGGCTAATTGTTTCCCCTTGATGTAGTGGCTACCCTCCTGTTAGTATGGCCCTGGATGTTAGTGGCCGTGTGCTGGATGGTGCTTAGCTGGCTGTCCACTAGTATCTCCCAGACTTCTTCAGCAGGACTGCTACCCTGCTGGTCAGTCCCCAGCCTGTGCTGTTGGAAGCAGTTTGTGTGTCCTGGATGCAGGATTTTGCACCTGCCTTTGCTGAATTGTCATGGTTCTGCTTGGTCCCTTTCCCCACCTGTCCCTGCTGAACTCCACCTCCTGCCCCTGGGCCTGGCCACTATGGTTGCATGGTTTGGAATTACTTGCAAAGTTGATGAGGGTGCACTCTCCTCCCAGGGCTGTTTACAGATGTTAGGCAGGACAAGGTCCCAGGGCAGATCCTGGCAATCCACACTCATTAACAGCTTCTTAGTATGGTACAAAATGCTAACCACTACACTTTGACCTTGATTTTCACCTAACTAATTGTCCACCCATCCACCCAAATGAGTTACAAAAATTATGTGGGAGGCCAGGTCAGAAGTCCTACCAAAGTCAGTATACTATAACTTCTTCCTCATGTAAGCAACCATTTCATTTTGTTATACAACAGAACACTTGGGAAGTATTTATCAAACAGTACTAAAGGAATTGTGTATCAAACACAAAAGAAAGGATTTAGATTTCCAAGGAGCAGACATGACAGAAACTCCTTTGACAATTAAACCTTAAAAATCCTATTTAAGGAATTTCTTATGTTTGAAAAAAATGCTGAGAAATCTGAAAGATTCTCTACAGTAAAGAACATCTGGATTTGTTTGAAACAAGATTTCGATTTCTGTCTAGTCACTACAAGGGCTACTTCAATAAGCTTACTGAGCTAGAGTTAGGATTTTAACTTACAACTGTAGGATACATATGTGAAAAAGATTAATCCAGAATACAATGCAAGTTGTATTAATTAAACATTGGCTAATGTGTTAAGAAATGAATAATTAACTCTGAATTAAGATAATAAAACATCATGTCGCAAACACCAAAATTAGGGCTGGGAAAAAAAAAGATCATTTGTATATCTTTAAATACAGTATATTTGTGTAAAACACTATATACAAACTAGTGAACCACTGACCTATTTATCCCATTATTTCCTTTTCTGCTTCTAAGTATGTCACAACTATTGCACAAAACTACTAGGACAAGGTTTGAACTCTGGCAAAGATAGCCAAGAAACAGGGAACAATAATTTTTTTTACTAATAATTTTTGTAACATAAGTACCCACTATTGTTCTGCAAAGGTCATACATTAGTAAGAACCTCTGTGTGTGTGTGTGTGTGTGTGTGTGTGTGTGTGTGTGTGTGTGTGTATGAGAAGTGCCTTTCCATCCATTTCCACCCCTTCTTTGTGAATCTGTTATGAAATTTAGAGAGGCTGCTAAATAGTCTTTAACAATGGGATTATTTTAGCATTCCTCTCTGGAGTTTTTCTGACCTGCTCAATAACGGTTGTAGAGAGGCTGAACATCGGGTTCCTGACTTAAACAGGCAGATAAATTATTGCTATTTTTTATATATGGTGGCATTGGAGATAAGAGTTAACAATCTCTCTGACTAGTCTAGTTATTTACTGGAGATTATTTTCATGTAATACCTTTCATTTTCCCACATACTTGCTTTACAGATACTTGATTGTTGTCTACACGTATTGTGGCCTTCTGCCATTCAGAAGTCTGTGAAGTGTGGAGCTTAAAACGAACAGCACAACTTCTAACATTTAAATAGCTTTGTGTTGCCAAATTTTGTTTGAGACTGTGGAGCTTTGGCAGACTAAGGTGTTGCCCTGGAAACATTGCTAAAGTCCTGAATGTTTCACTGTTGCTGCCCTACTGCATTCTGGAACAGATGTATTACTAAGTTCCATTATGGAGGTTCACATTGCTCAGTGTCATAAGATTTATGCTCCTAGTAAGATTTCTGTGCGAAGCCAGTGCCTTCCTATTTAATTGTTAAGGCAATGTATTTTGTTGACTGGGCAGTTTTAGGGCTGCATTCCCA